GCAATGCCCCACTAGTCAGCTGCTGGAGCTACAGTATAGCTCTGGCAGCTGGCGTATTATATTCCCCTCCCCCAGCCCTTTCCTACTTCCAGTAGCGTTCCCCATGTCGTTTACCAGCTATTCTATAGCATATGCGCACTGGGCTATATGATATATTATGTGACTTGTTCAGGGCATTCATTCAAAATCATAAACTGATCTTTCAGTCCTCTTAGGGTCTGCTCCACGCACGGTGGGCTCCCCCAATTATTGGACTCTCGGGCATTGGCCCGGGGTGACGTAGAACTGAGGAGGGAAGCGGGGAAGTGGTTGGAGGATCCATCCAAACAGGACTTGGAGGATCCCATATTGGGGACGCCAGCAACAGTGGTCTCGAGGTAGCGTTGCAGACATGGTGATGTTGGTGAATGTTCTCTCTTTTCTCGATGGGTATTTATGTGGTCTCCAGATTTGGTTCAAACGGTTATGGGCTCGTTGTTAAAGGAGTCAGCTGGCGCGAACCTGATTATTCTCCCATTTCCAACTGGCTGAAGAAGGCTTCAATCTTCTTAGATTATTTACAATGGGCCCTGAAAGCCTGACACAGCCTTGCTTCAGTTTCTAATGTGCTGCAATTCTATACTTGTTCAGTGCGTTCAGAGCCTGGCTAGCCTAGTCAATTCTGTAATGTTACAATGGCCCTGACCTTGCTTAAAGCTAATCAGCACCCTGCGCATGATTCGCGCATCGATGATCAGCTGAGCGCCTCGTTCCTTCTTGATGCCTCGCTGACTACCCGCAGAATATCGTTTCTTCTCTGACATTTGGTCGACTTGTCGACACTCTCGAATTCCCGTGGAGAACTGCATTAGCCAGCTTTCAGCAAGGTTTTCAGGAAAAACTACTTCTAACAGTTCATCAAAGGAAGGCATCATCGTGGCATTTCTCACCATTCAGTGAAGTCCGTTTTTTCCTGCACTGAATGCACTGAATTTGTTGAATTTTCGCCGCCATTCAAAAAACGCTCGATCAAGGCATCCGCCCTCGTAAGACGGATGGCCTTTTCAAAAGTCAAGTATAACATGAAAATTGCCTTTTTCAAGCTGTCAAGTGACTATGAGAAGTCTCGCGAAGAAACGCTGCTCAGCTAAAAAAGATCTTTAAATGCGCACGCATACTATAGTGTACATGCCGTCCATAACGCGAGATAGTATCACGCTAGAGGTTTTCCTTTGTCTCTTCAACGCATCAGCTTTATCAGGAATTGTTTGGTTCTTTTCGGTTATCCGGAGACAAATAAATATACGACCCTCATTCGCTGGACAAAAATTTTTCAAAGAAGTGTTAGTAATCATTCGGAAGCTTAAATCTCTGGCTACTGCGAAATACGTAGTTTTCAAAATACCCTTCTATGCCGTAAGATTCACTAAGAAAATCATGTTCCACACGATCATAAATTTTTTTCGTCTCGTGTGTATTTCGTTGGACAAAACTCCTTCCTTAAAGTCTAGAACTCTTTCAATAGCACAAATCTCGAAGAGCTTAAAAATGTGTTTGCTTCTTGGAAAAGCTCTTTTCATAGCGCTGAGCAGAAAGAAAACATTTGCGTTTTGCAGCTCGCCGGACAGTTCTGGAAAACCGTTTTGCAGTGTGGCAGAGGAAATAAGATCGAGCTCATATTCGGCTAGCCTGTTTACCGGCCCACCTACGGGCTAGGGGCGGGGCGATTGATCGATGCTCTCGCGGGTTAGACACATGTGGTTCAACTTGTTTTCAGTTGGTAATTTCTTCCCCGCTTTGAAAAAAAAATCCAGATAACACGATAGACTCAGATACTACGAGATTCTCTATACGCGTTCATATACCTTTCGTGCTTTCAGCGAACTATACGCGTCATTAATTTAAGGCGCGCGGCGGGTGTGAAACATAATTTTATTTGGATTTTACAGCGTTATGAAAGGGTGTTTTGAAAATGCGGCCACGTAGCGCTGTAGCCAGAGATTTAAGCTTTCGAATGATTACTAACACTACGATGAAAAATTCTTGTCCAGCGAATGAGATTGAATATTCATTTGCTTTCGGATAACCGAAATGAACCAATTGTTTCTTTTATGATTTAGTTTCCGACCACAAGGTTTGAATGAGATTTCCATTACTATTTTCTTTTTTTCTGATTTATTACCAAATTTTCGTGGTGCTAGGTAGATCATAAAGAGACTATTATTGAATGGCAATGTCGAGGTTGAGAAAAATCGGTTCCTCCATTCAGCCATAACTAAATATCCATGGTCGTCAGCTCTACTCAGGGCTTCATCAGTTCATATCAGCATCAACAAAGCAGTCATTTTATAGGCTTACGAAGATCCGGAGTTTACCAGAAATCAATGCGGATCGATACGATCAATACAGCGAGTACTTTGGAGGCTTGTGATCTCGATGAGCACTCCAGGCAAGTCGTGACCAAATCCTCAAAGCGACTGCGCAACCGCGCTCCAATCCCGTATCCGCGCGCCAAGTGTCTCTGTCCCTACTCTAGAGACTTTTTGTATGACTTTTCCCGCACAGCAAATTATTATCACTGTTTCATTATTATTGGTTGTTCTTTGGAGGGCGCCGTAGCCGACTGGTTGTGATTTTAGTCGTGGCGCGCCGTGGAACCGAGCTCCATTCCCACCGATTCTTCCGTCTCACGCCAGGCATATCCTCGAGATTGCGAAGTCTCGCCCAACCAGTAGTCCTCTCCGTTCAAGAAGAAGACGGAAAACGATTGAATACTAGAAGTAGTGAGATTCTCACAGTGAAAAAGCCTGTGATGACAAATCAATAAGTCTAACAGTGCTAAGGATTGTTCTATACTAGGCATATGTGGCAACTGAATACTAAAGGAGGGGATCGGGGAGGTGGGGGGGATCAAACCAGCACCTTGTCACCTTGCTTCTTGACACGCAACCACTGCGCTACCCGTCCTCCCGTATTGTAGGTCATATTGCTGTTTTGTCATTACTGTCGCCTTTCTCATAAAACGCCATATTTGGATAGCTGAATTACTCAAACTGAAGGAGTGGGGATCGAACCGGCGCTCTGCTTTGTTACGCCCAGCACCACTAACCACTGCGCTACGCGGCCTCCCATGCTGCAGATTGTATTACTATTCTATTTATATGACCAATTGTTTCTTGAAAATAATTTATTTGGTCGTTTGAATTGCTTGCATATGAAGGAATGGGGATTGAACTAGTGCTCTCTTTGTCATCTTGCTTTTTGATAGACCCCATCACTAACCACTGCGCTATCAGGCCTTTATTGTGACTATATCACTGCTTGAACATTATCGATTGTTTTCTAAGAAGCAGGGTATGGATAGATGAATTAATTACAAACGAAGACTGGCTGTGATATCTCACAACTCATGGAGTTCATGGCTACTCAGTAGTTTCTCACCAGGTTGATAGGATTAACCTTTTGAGGACTGTACTATACCTTTCATATCGTGAAATCTCACTCGACTACTGTAACGGCGACGCCGCATCTCGAGGTAAAGCAGGCAGACGGCCAAACATCCACGCACAGACATGCAGGTGCCGCCTACCTGGACTTCCGTGCAAGCGACAGCGCGACGTCGCCTACCTATCTGCGGTCGTCCTCGAAGGGTTAATAGACGATTGAATGTGTTATTAAGATCACTTCGAACGAATTAAAATGATCAGCGGTGTTATGATGGTTTATCGATTGACGAATTTGATGTGCCATATTGTTTCTCAGTTCATCTTCAGACAATTCGTATTCACAGTTCACTGTGCGCGTCCCAAATCCTCAACTACTCTGAAGGGTGGCCGAGCTAAGCAATTCAATAATACGTTCGCTGATTCACTGCAAAAAGATGGTTGATGAGGAGATCAAACTAGTGCCTCGCTTAGCACTTTGGTTCCTGACGCGCTGCATCACTAGCCAGTGCGCCACGCTGACCCAGCCATAACGATATTGGATAATTTGATTACTACAGATGGCAATGGCGCCTAGTGTGGAGGCGCTCTTCATTAGTCTCATGCCGAGCTTTTCCCTGCCTTTCAGGGTTCTTTTCGATCACCAAGGGACAAATAAAAACCGATCTCATTTGCAGGAAAGTAACTTTTCAGAGGAGTTTCAGTAACCATTTGAAAGCTGAGATTTCCAGCTACAGGTTCACGTGACCGGATTTTCAAAACACCCTTTATAACGCTGTAAAATTCAAAGGAAAGCTAGCCTCTTATTTCTCGCCGGACAGACCTCTTTCTCCGGACTATTAATAATCATTCAACAGCGTAATGTTTGCTGATTCCAACGCTGTGCTTACATCTTGAAAAGACGGTTTCCCTGCAAAGCAGCATGTAAAATAATTTGAATTCGTATGTGTGACCAAGGCGGTCTTTAGCCAATTCACGTGCCGCTGGGTAAGGCGCGCCACGTGCACTGACGCGATGATCGGTTTGTCTCGGACCGGTCTTACGATATCGCGTCAGTGCACGTGAATGCCTTACCCAGCGGCACGTGAATTGGCTAAAGACCGCCTTGGTCACACATGCAAATTCAACTTTTTTTTTACATGCTACGTTGCAGAGAAACGGTCTTTTCAAGATGTAAGCACAGCGTTGAAATCACCAAACATTACGCTATCGAATGATTATTGATAGTTCAGAAAAAAGAGGTCTGTCCGGCGAGGAAATATAAGACTAGCTTTATTTTGGATTTTACCGCGTTATAAAAGGGTGTTTTGAAAATGCGGCCACGTGGACCTGTGGCTAGAAGTCTCAGCTTTCGGAAGGTCACTGAAACTCCTATGAAAAGTTACTCTCCAGCAAATGAGATCGATTTTTTATTTGTCCCTTTGTAATCAAAAAGTGCCCTGAAAAGCAGGTAAAAGCTTGGCATGAGACCAATGAAGAGCGCCTCCACACTAACTACTGGATAGTCGTAAATTCAATGGAAATCAGGGCGCCATTGCCATTTGTAGTAATCAAATTAGGCGGACCAGGAGACCAGAAACCGCGGTAGTGCAATGGTTAGCACGCTCCCCCGAAAAGAACGTGGTGCGGGTTCAACTCTCGTCCGAGGTTCGAAGTTTTGCATCTCACCATTTTTGGATGCGTAGATAACACTGTTCCATTGCTAAGAATTTCCTGTCGTGTACAATTTACAAGAATTTTCTTTATTTTGACGCTTTAGTAATGGTATTATGATGTTCTATATATGTCCAGAAATGTTGATGGATGTGCAAAACTTTGAACCTCGTTGATCAGGAGTTGAACCCCCTTCTCACGGTTTCGAGAGGCGCGTGCTAACCACTGCGCTACCGCAGGGGCACCGCTTCCGTCAAGTAGTTACTGGCCTTGCGAATGTCAGTTTAGCTGTGGTGTCTTATCGACTAGTAACACTACGCGCACTATCATATTCTGTAGGGGTGCGTTCGGCTCAATGGCTAGATGGTCAGGGGCGCCCTGCGTAGCGTCGTTAATGTTTCGATCTCACGTTCTAGACTTCTCAACCTTTCACTTTTGTGGACTTGGTGAACTGTTACCAGATGTCTAGAAGGTGAGAAACACTGGCTTGATACATTGGGGGGCTGTCGGGGGTCATTGTAAGGGTCAGGTATGCGTCCAGTCACGTTTAACGACATTACGCATTGAGTCGAATGCATAGCACGTTCCTCAAAAATTGACCAACGCCCGAGGCTCTACTGCTGCACGCTGGAGAAAATCGCACTTTTCTTCCAGCCAGTCATGCTCATTGACTATTATTACTTGATCGTAGAGGTTTTTACTAGCTACTTTCAAAGCAAGACGCATATCAGAGTGGCCAGAGGTGCCCGGCGATACATGTGGTCGACGGTTCGATCCCATGCTTGGAATACAGTCTACAAATGCTCTTCATTCTGCCGCTTCAGTAGCAGTGTCATAATGTCATAACAAGAGTGTCGAGTAGTATACGAAACTTTGGACCCTTGGCGGGAATCGAACCCGCGTCTCACTCTTTCCGGGTGAACGTGCTGACCATTACACTATCGCGGGGCCGTGTTCGAGTCTCACTTTCTCTCTAATGACTTCCATACGTTATTCTCAAAGGTTTTTTGCGCCTTCTTCCCAGGGTCACCTCTTTGTTTGTGTTGTTTACGAGCATTTGTTTATTTATCGCTTTGTTTACTCATTTACTGAAGGCGTTTTTGTTCAAGGATGAGCGATAGTCACCTATCGACGTTACGTCTCCCATCGTTTGGATTGATCGGTAACAGCGACGGAGGTATAGATCCAGACATTCAAGTTTATTTATTTTTAGTTTTACGCGCTTTCTATGCTCCGACTGACCTGCTTAACCCGTTCGGGACCGTGTAGCCACCTACTCTGCGTCTCTGACCCCGGCGTGGCAAAGCTGGACGATCTGCTCCACCTCCTCTTCGTCTCTAACCTCCAGCGGAGCGCACGAATGCATTATTTTTCACTTCAATTGTACCAATGTTATTCTCCTACTTTTGAACAACATAATTTGTTTACATATAAGATAACATGGGAAAATAATGACAATAATACAACTGAAATGCAGTAATAAATATAACCAGTTAACCTCCGCGGACCCACGCCTGGTGCGCCTACCAGCGTGGGTCCGCGGAAGTTAACCGGTCAATGCGTTCCCTAGCGGGGGTTCAAGATGCAGAGGAGGTGGATCCACACTTCCGAAAGGGTTAAGAACGGAATCTGTTCTTCACTGGACATAGAGTGTAAAACGTACGTCGTCGCTAACTCTTATTGTGGGGACTGGAGCACCCACAGAGATTAGCAATAGACGAGAAAGGGCAACTGCCTGACTAACGAGATCGCAAGATCGAAACACGTGTTATCGGGCTCTATAAGTCAGCCCTCATTGACAGACCACTGACATGCGTGGCTCAAATAATGATTATCACAATCTGTTCTGTTTACATTCAATGCTACCGACGTGTTATGCAATACATCTGACCCCACGTGGGAGTTGAACCCGCGTTTCACTCATACCAGGGGCGCGTGCTACCACTGCACCACCGAGGCCACCGCCTAGAACCACACGTTCGATACAATTTATCGTAGCTATCAACAACCAACCTCTAATGGGTTTGGCCTCGATATCGAAGAAGGAGCGGTAGAAAAGCGGTGGCCTCTGTGGCTTAGTGATACAACGCGGCCTTCCTGTATAAGTGAAACGCGGTTAGCTCCGGCTGGAATGAGGTTTTGCATACACTCAGTGCTCTTACATGGGATTTATGAGGTCATGACGCTCTTAAGGGGGCTAAAAATTGAGGAATGTGGATTGTTTATTTCGTTAGGGTAAATAGTCTTGTGAGATCTTAGATGGACCGTTGTAGGCTCCTACTCGGGTGAAATCGACCATACTGGGTTTCTGTCGGATAATATTGGCTCTTGTTTATGAATCAGGACTTTTCCGACGTTGTATTCGTAGTTGACGGCGAGAAGTTTCCAGCTCATAAGGTACTTCTAGCTGCAAGAAGTGAATATTTCAGGTAAGATCTTCTCGCTTTCTCTTATGAATCTCCCTAGAATCCTAATGGGATCCTCAATTTCAGAGCTTTGCTTTATGGTGGCATGAAGGAAAGCGATGAAGGCGAAATCGTCCTTGAGGAAACTAACGTCTTTGCCTTCCGTATCCTCCTAAGGTTGGTCTCTTTAGCCGAGTGTTTGGCTAAATACAGCGCCATCTTCATTACTCTGAACCTCAGGCGGGAGTCGAACTCGCGTTGCACCCATACCAGAGACTCGTATAGTTACCATACCACTGAGGGCCGCAGATTTGCTATCGGTCTCTTATTATAAGTGAAACGCGCTGGTTCAACTCCCGCCCGGAGTCGAAAGTTTTGTTTATCACGGAACACCCTGGGAATCAAAGGACATTGTATCCATGCACATAATCTGGTACCTTGTGTCGCAGAAAAAAAGATAGCAAAGCAGAAGCGCGATAGTGCAGTGGTTAGCGCGACCTCCTAAAAACGGTCAGACAAGGGTTCGACCCCTATCCGGGGTTCAGCTTTTAATGTAACGCAGCATTCTTGAGTACTTTATACAGCGTTTCCGAGTTTATTTCTATCTTTTGAGGTATATATACACTGCAAAGCTGACGCTGCTTGAATACAAAGAAGAACAGGTGATGGAAATTCTTGGCCTTGCCCATAAATATGGGTTTGTCCAACTTCAAATGCGATCGCGGACTATCTGAAGGTGGGGTTTGATCTATAGAGAGCTACTGAGACGCCTTTTTTGTGGCGTTTTTTCATGGACTTTTAATTGGTATTGTTTGGAACACTCCGTTTCATTGGCATGTTTCTCCGATTTAGTTAAAGTTCAGGGTGTTATTCAGTATGATAGATGCTCACTTCCATAGCTGTTCGTGTGTTTTTCAGGCTATCCTGAACAACAAGAATCTTTGCACGATTTTCAATATATCCCAGTTGTACTTCTTGAATGATCTCACCGAATACTGTCTGGTATTTGCCGATCAAAATGCGACTGAGGTGCTAACCACTCAGGTATAATGATCTTAGCTATTTATCTGCCGAGAACGAACATTACACGTTGGGTACCGCGCTGGCCGTTGAATTGGCGCACCGCGCGTCGTCTCACTGGGGCTCATTGTAATGAGTGCGCGCTTCTCAATGCATGTCTTGGCTTATCTATTCATTCTTATTCTTATTTTACCTATATAATTAACATCGGCGTTGTTTCTACTACTTATAGCTTTATTTATGTCTTTTAGTCATACTCTATCTATTGCTAACCACAAAACCCTCTCGGGGGCGATAAAAATCAAAATTTCACTAGAAAACGGCAGCATTATCATTGAAATGGAGCGCGTCGCGCCGCGCCGCGCAGCCAAAAATTAACGTGGCACCCTGCGTTTTGAGTCAAATGGTCAGCTATCTGAATCCAGGGGTGTTGAAGGGCATTTTGCCGCAAAGGTTAATAGTATAGATGGCCAAGCTACTACGCTTATTAATTTTGTTTTCTATACCTTCATTTCAAATGCTTTGTTATGACCACGCTCAAATTTCAGTAGATCCTTTCATTATTATTTGAGCCAGCTTGTCATGTGGTATGGTAAGGGACTCTTGTACAGCCCGATACACGTGTTTCGTCTATGTTAGGTGAAAAATTCACTTGACGTAGAGTGTGGAACGTTCGTCTTCGATGACTCTCTATAGGGAGAGCTGGGCTCCCGAGAGATCTGGCCATTAAAAAGATCAAAAGACGACGGGTTCTGCCCGACTGACGCAGTCTGTAAGGACGAAACACGTGTCTCGGGCTGTACAAGAGCCCTTACCAGACCACATGACAAGTTGGCTCAAATAATAATGAAAGGACTATTGTATTTTTGTTTTTATCAAGAAAGGTATCTTTGTTATGCTCTATATCTAAGAAAGAATGGTAGCCAATGGGATGGTGTAGTGGTAGCACGCTCCCACAGTATGGGAAACGCGGGTTGAACTCCCTGTTGGGGTCGAAAGTCTTGCATACCACTCGGAGTTATTGGATATATCTTTTTCCCGAATCTACTAGATGACTTTTCCTTATTGTCCTACTGTGACCTTCACCGCTTCTATCTTTGATCGATTCTTGTCAGGGTTTCCTACAATTGTCGTTGAACTGCAGTAACCACAGCTAATCGCACGGGACTCATTCTGTGCAGCAGAAATCGATATCTTTTGTGCTATATGGGAATGGGTAAAGGTCCGTCCAGAAATGCAGGTATGTCAGGAGTGAGAAGGAGAGACTGTCATAGGGTTACAGCAATTTTAATTCGTGTGAGACAGCAGCTGTTTGCGATTTTTCGCGAGGGCGAAGCAAATCCTTCAATATCCAACTATGTTGGTGTCATGAAAGACAAGCTGAAGAGGTACATGACTAGTGTGCAGAGAAAGCAGTGGTTAGGGAGATTGTTCAATAAGGGAATGGTTACTGGATCGACCTCACCCCTTGTTAGTCGAGTCTCCTTGCCACCAGACGCGACGAATTGTTGTCAGAAATTCGTCACCGGATGCGACGAATGGTGCCCATCCCTCCATCCACAACGTCTTCCTGTCTTGAAAGTTTGTTATAGTCTTGGGAACACCTCAGGCGAGATATCTTATGTTGCCACTGGAGATTCAGTTTGACAGATTGAACAATGACCATGAACACTAAAAAGTCCTGAAGTAAAGTAGCCGAAGCTGAACGCAGGTCTGAAGATTTTGGTGAAAGTCAGATAAAAATAAAAAAGCTCTCGGCGTTGATCAATCCCTGAGGGATGCGCCATGCATTTGACTTCAATTTTTAACTTCGTTTGAGGTGATTGAGTGCATATCTGGCCTTTACAATGACTCGCGTGGCCTCCCGCTGAACCGAGTCAGTGCTGCTTATCCTCGCAGACAAGTCTGAGACCTGTCTGGTACCAATTTAACGAACCCGGAGGGATGATGGCTTGGTGAGCTATAAGCGCGCGATCGAACCATTGACCTCGTGTGCGACGCAGAGCACCTCTAACCACTGCCCCACTACGCGCCCTGAAAGTCAGATGCGGTGTAAGATAAATCGAATGTGGAATTTGGGTTAACGTTAAATCTTATTAACGGAAAGAAAATGGGAAGGAGAATATGCTCGATGTACTGATCAATCCCTATAGAATACGCTATGCACTCGGCATCATCAAGATCTGTTGAGAGTGATTGAGTGCCTGTCTGGCTTTGCAATGACTCGCGGTGGACTACCGATTCATCATGTCCGAGCTGTTATCCTCCCAGACAAGTCTCGTGTCAATTTGCCGATCTTGGAAGGATGGAAGACGTGGATCCTTGAGCGTGGGGCCGAACCGTCGACCATTTGTATGCTGCAAGACACCTCTGACCACTGCGCCACACTGGACCCTTAGACATTTGTACTTTTTGTAGATGTTTTTTTTTCAAGGCAGCTGCAGTGGAGATGTTGATGAAGTGTCTCAGACTTTCTCTTATTAGTCAACGAGATCTTCTCAATATTGTGAGACCATCAGGTCTCTT